AATATATATATATATAATCAACATCAATAGTTGAAAGGCATGTCTTCTCTATCTATACAAGAGAAATAACACAGCGTGCAGACAGGTTTAACATATACAATTACCCAAACAAAAACAAGCTTGGATCCATTATTAGGTGCTTTTTCTTGAAATGCTATTGTATGTTTCCAGTCTTATTTTATGGTTTTGACAAACAGAATTCTGATAATGGTGTGAAAGCAATTTCTTAATCTGCCAGCCCGAAAGGGAAAATGAAAAACTTTTCTTTTGTTTCTAGGTAAAGTTCACTTAAGTGTCGCATATTAGAGGTGGTAATAGTAAAAGGGAATAATGTACAAGAAAAGAAAGAAAAGAGATAAGGATGATAGATATTTGATAGGAAAGAACTAATAAACCTCACCTGGTCTTCCAGAAAAAAGACTTTCTACTCTCAATGAATATCATGAACATAACTAAAAAGGCAACAAATATCATGAATAGGCTATTTAGCAGGAGCATCATCATCATCATCATCCTCATCATCATCATCATCATCATCATCATCATCATCATCATCATCATCATCATCTAATTTTTTACACATATCACCACCTTTCTTCAGGAGTGACAATTACAGCAATTGAAAGCACAATATTGCAACAATATTGCAACTCACGTGATTTTTCTACTGTAACGACAATGTCTCACAATCGTATGCCCCAATCTGGCACCCACAAAAATAGGACACGAGATTTTTTTTTTCAAAAATGAATAGGATATTTAGGTCCAAAAGGAGTTTGGAAATGAATTTGAAGCTAAGTCCGTTACCTGCCCAAAGCCAAGGAAGAATAGCTGCTCATCAGTGACTCCAAGAGCCGGGAGACGCTGCTGTGTTTCCCCAGACTGAGAGGCCTTGTAGGCGTGGTAGGCTATCTTGAGACCGGCATTGTCTGCAATGTTCTCTCCCAGTGTTGATAGACCTTTTACCTGTGGGAGCGAATATGAGAGACTGAGAGGTGGTCAGTGTGGTGTGAGTTGTGTGGTGTGGTGTGGTGTGGTGTGGTGTGGTGTGGTGTGGTGTGGTGTGGTGTGGT